TCATCCAGTCAGATTGATTCAAAGTTTTCTATCTAAGGAAAACCAGCTGATTGCATCGACTCATTGACTCTTCAGCAATCCCTCCACAATTTGAGATTAAAGGCAGAATTCTTTTTTCCCATATTAAACTGCAAAAAAATGTTAAAATTAATCAACTTTTTTTTATTTTTCCTCTTTTGGAAACATATTTGCGTAATGTTACGACTTTAATCCAGTAATTTTATGACTTTATTCTGGAAAGCATTAAATCTCTAGTTTAGCTCTAATACTCCGTCCTACCGAACATAAATATTCTGGATATTTTCATTAACTTTCTTCTTAATCCTCTAATTCCGCTAAACGAGACTTGACTGGATGTTTAAATAGGAATGAGGATAAACTGAGGAGACAAACATTAAAAAGTCTCTGAGTTTCAGGCCGTGTTGGAAAATACGCCAGTAAACATCAAACGCTCGATAAAAGCCGCTTCCTGACGTCGTTCTGCGCGTTTTTTTCTCGCTTTTTATCCGCAGAGTCATTAAAAAATGACGTTTTGTTTTCTGTGACAAAAGAAATTAACGAATAAATGGAAATATTGGGGAGAAAACTTACAGTTCAGCTGATCGACACGTTTATCTCCGGTCCATGTGTTTTGTTGTCGTCCCGGTTTACGACAGCGCCGTAAATTGTTTATGGTTGCTGCAAAAAGTGGTGGACGTTTGTTGTAAAATAAAAGCCCCACTTCTGGCTTTTTAATGTGTTGTAACTCTTTAATTTTCTAAACTGTGTTCATTAAACCACAAATGTGCTTAAAACACTTTTGTTTCTAACGATTTAAAGGACCAAACCTCCGAACTAAAACCCGATAAAATATATTTTATATTTAAATTTTAACTTTGATCAAATAAAAATGTATTTTTAAATTTGATCGAATATCATACTGCTTTCATCTAAATATATCTATAGGCTGTTTTATTTCTACCTGTGTTCGTGTTTAAAACCCTCGTTGCGCATTTCAGTGGAGAACTTCATTACCCAGAATGCTTTGTTAACACGGTATAGCGTTACCTTGTTGCATAGCAACGCTTTAACGGACAAGGAGAAACTACAGAGCAACGTTTATAGTTTTAAACACTGCAAAAACTAAAATAATATAATTTATTGCTTATAAAATCTCGTTATTTTTTAAAGTAGTGATAAAATGTTGGCTAAAAACAGGATTTCAGTTGGTGAGCCTGAAACCACATCGACTCCAGCAGAGGAAGAGCCTGAAGGTCTGTTTGGGTTTTAAGTTTGACAGTGAAATCATTTCTATCTCCATCACTGCTCTGCTTTAAAGGAAAAGTCCGCTCACATCCAGAATACAAACTTCTGAAAGAACTTTAAATATGAAATTATTTCATACTGTTACATAAATTATCAGTGTTTTTAATTAAGAGTAGTTTTCGTTTGAATGTGCTTTACTGGAATACAGAGGAGGATTAGGGCCACAGAAAAAATTAAAAAAAAAGTTAACTGATTTTTACATTTTATTTCAGTATTAGCAGAATTCTGACTTTAATCTCAGAATTCTGACTTTTAATCTCAGAATTCTGACTTTTAATCTCAAAATTCTGACTTTTAATCTCAAAATTCTGACTTTAATCTCAAAATTCTGATTTTTAATCTCAGAATTCTGACATTTATTCTTAGACTTCCTACTTAACCTCAGAATTCTGACTTTAATCTCAGAATTCTGACATTTATTCTTAGACTTCC